TGGCCCTTAAATGGCCTCTTTTTTTAGATGAAATTTTAAATAAGGATGTATTGACCAATATCACAAGAATCATAGCTAATACAGTGACTAGATAAGAAAAAAACCTTTTTGTTGAAAATTTCTGTTCCTGCGTTTTATTTTTGACGTCACAAATAGAACTGATTTTGATTTTTCACGAAAAAAATCAATGAAAATGGGTAAATTTCCATTGATTATTGTACAGAAAACATAGAGCGCATACATCAACAAATAATATCATTTAAAATAATGTTTGCCAAGACATTTTACAAGTCTAACTTGAATAATTATTTTTTCGACGCCTGCGCTCTTATGTTTTTCCAGATCCTAAATTTGGTAAAAATCAAAGCTTTAGATAAAACTTTGACACAAATTATTCTATTTAACTTTCTCACATATCTTTTAGTCAACTTAAAACATTATTTATCTTGTAACATTGAACTTTATAATAGGGGTCAAATAAGGCCCTTATCGAACTTGCTCCTTGGCAATAGAAAAACCTGTATTTCATTGCTGTGTAAAATTCATATTTTTGTACTTAAAAACTTAATAAAATTGAGATTAAATACTATAAAATTATCAAAAAGATTCTTGATTACTTACCAACATGTTAACAACAGTATCAGACATCCAAGTCTTACTCCCAGCACCATGAAAACATCGTCATTATAACAACCTAAAAAAAAAAAAAAAAAAAATAAATACTTGTTTTACAGATCAATCTGTCTCTATAATTACTAACAAAATCTTGCTATGTTTTATAAATCAAAAATTGTTGTATTTTATTATCTTCATAAACTTAAGATGCTACAGATAGATATAGACCTTATGCAAGTGCATGTACAGTGTAACCTGCCTAATCCGACACCTGAGTATTCCAACATCCTGCTTTAAGAAACTCATTCCCACTGTGCTTAATCTGACATTTTTTTCTGGACCTCCAGTGTGTTGGACAACACAGGTTACACTGTATATGTATAAGATTTTAGAACATTCAAATACAAAATAAGATGGTTTTAGACTGTATTGTATGGTTCTTATATCAATTCAATTTTCAAACAGTTACAGACTTAGCATAATGATTTGTTCAACCCAAATAAGCTTACAAATTTATTGATAATCATTTGCATAAGGTCGATTTCTATCCAACACAGCTCACTCGATACTTAAGAAAACAAATGTCACGAGGCAGATATCCTTAAAATCAAACATTGATAGAAAAGAACCCTTAAGGTGGTACATAATACTACAGGGAGATAACTCTGTAAAAATCAGCTGAACGTTCTATTGTTAAGGAAATATTAAGTTTCTCAATGATCAAAATAAGTGTTGTCAAACTGCTATATATCCAATTAAATTTTTACGATAAAGTGTGTGGTTCAAATTTTTTGAAATTTTTATATTTTTGTTAAAGGGTCAAAGTAAATATTTTGTCAAAATTTTATGAAAATTAAACGAGCCAAATTAATTTTAGTCAAGGTGTTTGGTACCACCTTAAGAAAAAAAACAATGATAAATGCCTAAAATATAATGACCATAAATTTCAAGGAATATTCAAACTTACGTCATATTTTTCATGGTAATGCCTCAGACTTGGTTGAAGATTAAATTGACCATCTTCATTAGAGCTGCTCTCCCTACTGCTAAGGTAGCCCTCCTCACCATCTTAACGTCTTTTTTTAGAAATACAGTAATATACATAAAAAATATCAGATGCATTTTCAATAAATCCCCTTTCTTGAAAGTATCACCAAATCATTGTTAGTAACCCATGATTTTTCCCGCCCTACATATCTATTATCTTAAGGGCTCTGATAACATTTTTTTTCCGTATCAGAACTCTAAATAACAGTCAATATTAGCTAGTATACATCTGATATTGAAAAAAAGTACATGAAAGTAATTAAAAATCAAACACTGAGGGTATTTCAAGTTTGTGGAGTTAAACAGGGGTATAATAAATTACCTCCCTTTGACCAAACTTTCACCCTGTCAGGACTCCACATCCTTGATATATTGAGACAAAAAAATAATAGTATAATTATAATTAAAAAATAGTTCAATAACAAAAAAATTTAGTGGGAATATTTACATCAGCAGATTTAATTGCATTAACTATATGTATAAAGTAACTTGTAAAATTTGAAAGTATCTCAAATCCTAAAATAACAAAAGATGGCAAAAACATATACATTACAATTTGCAAAAAAAAAAATTCAAAAATTGGACGTTTTTTTTTTTCTTTCCTTTTTTTTTTAGATTCTCCATTCTTAAACTGCTGGAAGTGTTTTGACTAGACATGAGTATAAACGGAAAGTAGAAAGAATGTTTGTAATGTCAAATACAAGTTAACCTACAACTTCCAATCTTGATGAAAATGGAGAATCTTTACATATTTTTTTTTTTTTTTTTGTAAAAAAATTATAAAATATTTTCTCAAGCATACACAAAAATAGTCTGAATTACATTCTTTACTTTTGCAGTTATATCACACAACCATTTTATGCAGCAACAGTTATCTGAAAAAGAAATATACATTACTCATGAACATTGAAATAATATTTAATGCAAAACAATTATAATTAACTGAGCATTACAATCATAATGTATAGAACATTTCTTTTTCTTTGTTATTAAAGTGATTTGTTGACATGAATTTTTAAAGTACCAGTATTTGTTAGTAATAAAAGGATGAAAAACAAGCCATTGGCTGGTGTCTTGACAAATCTTTTTTAACATTGTTTTATAGTATATCAGGCTGTTAACATTCTTGATTGAATTTTTTAACATTAAGTCATGTTGAACCTTTATAGATAACTATACAGTATAGGTTTTGCTCATTGTTGAAGGCAGAGGGTGACCTTTAGTCGCTTACATCCACATGATTTGGACTCTGGTTGATAGCTGTCTCATTGGCATACATACCACATTTACATATTTTCATATATGGGGACAATTGTAGATAATAAACAAGAGGCTCTCAAGAGCCTGAATCGCTCACCTGTATTTCAGAGGAGGAGATTTTTAAATGTTAGCAAACTTGATGAACAAATTGTGTAAAATTGTCTTTAAAGGGCAATAACTCCTTAAGGGGTCAATTGACAATTATGGTCATATTAACTTTTTTGTAGATCTTACTTTGCTGAACATTATTGCTGCTTACAGTTTATATATATCTATAATAATATTCAAGATAATAACAAAAAACTGCAAAATTTTGTTAAAGCTACCAATTCGGTGGCAGCAACCCAACAATGGGTTGTTCAATTCTTCTGAAAATTTCAGGGCCGATAGATCTTGACCAATTAAACAATTTTACCCCTGTCACATTTGCTCTAAAAGATTTAATTTTTGAGATATAAGCCAAAAACTGCATTTAACCCTTATGTTCTATTTTTAGCCATGGCAGCCATGTTTGTCGATGGATACAATCTTCGGATACAATTTATAAACAAGATACCCTAAGGAACATTTAGTTAAAGTTTGAAGGTAATTGGCCAAGTAGTTTCAGAGGAGAAGATTTTTGAAATAGTTTACGACGACAGACGACGACGACAGACGATGGACGACGACGGACGCCAAGTGATGGCATAAGCTCACATGGGACCATTCGGGCCCCGGTGAGCTAAAAAAGAGAAATCACTTGATTTCTTATAATATTCAAATTTTGTTATGTATCTTTATTCCTCCATCTAGATTGTATAATTATAATTAAAAAAAACGATTCAAATGTAAGACCTCCATCTGTACATAATAAAAATCTTGGGCATAAACAATGCTCTTGGATGAATAGTTCAGAAATCTATGTATTAGTTCTTACCATAAAAGTCAGCTCCAATGCCCTTTCCCAGCTTCAATCCTTACAGACAAGCTGTGATGCTAACCTGAAATATAAAATGATTATTCATTGAAGATTGTTTAAAAGGATCATTTCTGGTACTGTATGTATATTGAATAGATTGAATGATTGATTGCTTAATGCTTAATGTCCAGTGGCCAATTATTTAAAAGAAATAGTCTATGGATGTGAAATAGATGTTGGGAACATATGAATAAGACGGTAATCAAACAAGCCAAAAAACTTTTATGTGAACAATTAATATCCTAAACTTTACTCTTATTTGGTTACTGATTTAATAATAAGAGAAGATTCCTGTTAAAAATCGTTTAAACGTACAATTCTTGTTTTTTCCATAAAATATTTATGATACATTTGAAATTTTGTTCCAAAACAGGACTAAAAGAGGGACGAAAGATACCAGAGGGACAGTCAAACTCATAGATCGAAAACAAACTGACAACGCCATGGCCAAAAATAAAAAGACAAACAGACAAATAATAGTACAGATGACACAACATAGAAAACCAAAGACTAAGCAACACGAACCCCACCAAAAACTGGGGGTGATCTCAGGTGCTCTGGAAGGGTAAGCAGATCCTGCTCCAAATGTGGCACCCTAACATACTGATACTTACATATGTATTAGCTGTATTAGACCACCAAGTCTTATTCCCACACCATAAAAACATGTCACAGAGAAAACCTGAAAAAGGAATTTTATAAATTAATATATCTGTAACCAATAACCTAAAATTTACTAAATATTGTTCTGATTTCTTATTGCAGGTAGACAATTGTATAAAATCAACCTTTTTTTAAATCAATATAAAAGACAGAAAAGTCAAAAAAAGTCAAAGATTTAAAGTTTAACTGCACAAAAAATATCTGAATATTTTACAAAGTTATCTCCCATTGAATGAAAAATTATGTTTTAAATTGTACTGGTTTTTTCTTGAAGTTTAATGACTATTTTAAGGATTTACTATTGATATTTCAATAGAAAATCTTGTTCATGAATCTTGTATATTGTATCTCTAAATATTAAACTGGTAAATTAATTCATCAATGGTGTTTTAAATGCAACATTTCAGAAGGGTTTGTTATCTTAAAAGATCTGGCTAAAATAAACTTGCCTTTTCTATTTTCATGGTAAAGCTCAGACTTTGGTTGAAGATTTTATTGACCATCTTCCTTGGAGCTGCTATCCTGGCTGCCAAGATGGTTCTCCTCATTATCTTATTGACAATCTATGTTGTGTCCATTTGTTTTTAGAAAATAAAGTAACATACATAAAAAATATCAGATGCACTTTCAATTAATAAACTTTTTTTTAAATTTTCACATAATCATTTTAAGTGACACATAATTTTTCCCACCATACATTTCTATTGTCTAGAAAACATCTGATATGTAGAAAAGTGCATAAACCTGAGTATCCAACTAAAGAAAAATCTAACATTGAGGGAATTTCAAGTATTTGAAGTTAAACACAGTATAATAAATTACCTCCCTTTGACCTAAATTTCACCCTGTTATTCGCCAAATCTTTGTTATATATAACCAAAAAAAACATATAAAATAGTGTAATCAAAAAAAAAAATAATTAAATTACAAAAATCCAACACATTTCAAAAACATATTTAGTGCTGATGGAGTAATGGTGGCTGAATGGTCAAAGTAGTTCAACTACTGTATCACTAGTCTGTCAACACTCTGAACCCTCACATTGTAGGTGTGTTTAACTTCAATCTTAATTGTCCATAGTTGTCACTTTCTCTGATGAAGGTGATGTTTTCACTAGGCACTCTGGCTGTCTCCACAAATAAAAACCAGCAGGCAAGATATAGAAGATCATGCTGAAAGTGGTGTTAAATACCAAAAATCAATCAATATACTTTCATCAAGATATTCTTCAACTATGCTCCTTGTAAAATATTCTTAAAAAAATATACCCTTTGTTACAAAGTCAGCTAAAAATAACAAAAAGATGGAAAAAATATATATATCACTTTGCAAAAAAAAAAAATACATTTCAACAATTGAACATTTTTTTTTTCTTTTCTCTTTTTTTTTTTTTTTTTTTTTTTCCTTTTTTAAGATTCTCCATTTTTAAACTAATGAAAGTGTTTTTCCTAGACATGAGTATGAACAGAAAATAGAAAGTAATTTTTACAATTTCCAAGACAAGCTAACCTACAACTTCCAATCTTATTGAAAATGGAGAACCTGTACATAATTTTTTTTTTTTTGTAAAAATTGTAAACATTTTCTCGAACATACACAAAAATAGTCTGAATTACATTCTTTACTGTTACAGTGAAATCACATAGCCATTTTATGCAGCCACAGTTACCTGAAAAAGAAATATACAGACTTAAATGTAATTTGTCAAAACATGAAAATTGAAACATTATCAAATGCAAAATAATAAATAATTGGTTATTATAATTATGATGCATATAGCATTTCTCTCACTTAATTTTAAAGGGGTTTGCTGATCTAAGTTTTGAACTACCAGTCTTAATTAGCGGAAAAAGATGAACAAGAATGTGTCCCTTGTGCACAGATACCCCACTCGCACTATCATTTTCTATGTTCAGTGGACCTTGAAATTAGGGTCAAAATTCTAATTTGGCATTAAAACTAGAAAGATCATATCATAGGAAACATGTGCATTAAGTTTCAAATTGATTGACTTCAACTTCATCACAAACTACCTTGACCAAAAACTTAAAACTTGATTCGGGACAGACTGACGAAAGAACGTGCAAACAGACGCAAACTGAAAAAAATTAAAGAACCTTAGTGAGCGCGCTCACATACCCCACGTCCCCACATTGTCATTGGAGAAATAAAATAAATGTAAGAAAAAGAAATTGTATCAGAAAAAAAAATTGAATCATAATTTCCTGTCAATATGCACATCTACATAGTATGTCCTTATTATCTACACAGTTTCATGAAATTCTGTTGTGTGGTTTGAGAGGAGTTGCGATGACAAAAGGTTGCAGTAGTATATTGGGCAAATAAGTTCAAAGGGGCGTAACTCCTGGAAAAAAAATTGAATCGTAATTTCCTGTCGATATGCACATCTACGTAGTATGTCCTTATTATTTGAAAAGGTTTCATGAAATTCTGTTGTGTGGTTTGAGAGGAGTTGCGATGACATAAGGTTGCAGTAGTATATGGGCCAAATAAGTTCAAAGGGGTGTAACTCCTGGAAAAAAAATTGAATCGTAATTTCCTGTCGATATGCACATCTACGTAGTATGTCCTTATCATATACACAGTTTCATGAAATTCTGTTGTGTGATTTGAGAGGAGTTGCGATGACAAAAGGTTGCAGTAGTATATTGGGCAAATAAGTTCAAAGGGGCGTAACTCCTGGGAAAAAAATTGAATCGTAATTTCCTGTTGATATGCACATCTACGTAGTATGTCCTTATTATCTGAAAAGGTTTCATGAAATTCTGTTGTATGGTTTGAGAGGAGTTGCGATGACAAACTGTTGCAGTAGTACATTAAAGTAAATAAGTTCAAAGGGGCGTAACTCCTAGAAAAAAAATTGAATCGTAATTTCCTGTCGACATGCACAACTACATAGTATGTACTTATTATCTAAAAAGGTTTCGTGAAATTCTGTTGTGTGGTTTGAGAGGAGTTGCGATGACAAGAAATAGGACTGACGGACTGACGGACAGATGGACAGACGGACGGGTCAAACACATTATACCCTCTGCAACTTGTTGCGTGGGGTATAATAAAATAGCGCCCCTTAGTGGGGCATGAAAACAAATCATTGGTTGATGTCGAACATATTTTTTTTTTGTTCACATATTGTCTTTTTGGAATTGGTTCTTACCATAAAAGTCAGCTCCAATGCCCATTCCCAGCTTCAATCCTTACAGACAAGCTGTGATGCTAACCTGAAATATAAAATGATTAGTCATTAAAGATTGTTTAAAAGGATCTTTTTTTGTTATACTGTGTGTATATTAAATAGATTGAATGATTTGATTGTTGGTTGCTGAATGTCCAGTGGCAGATTAAATAGAAAGTCTATAAATATGCAATAGAAGTTGAGAATAGGAATCCAGCATTCAACAAATTTTTACATATTCAAATCAGATCATTAAAATTACTCCTTTAAGGATAGTACCACTAATACAGGCCTGGTCTTAAAGAACATACACAAAGTAGTACAGATTTTAAACAAAATGGTTCCGACAGATAGCTATATCGTTGTCAATAGGTAAAATATTTGGGTAGTTTTTATTTCAAATGAAGGCTTGGGGATTTGGGAACACTGTAGAACCCTTGTTGAAGGTTTCTTTTGAATAACTAAGAAGTATATGAAATTTTAATATGAGGGCACATTTGCCATGTTGTTCAGATCAGAAATACCTGTTTTTGTACAATCAAACTTCCACTAAACAGTACGCTCTAATATGCAATTGAAGGTATGTTGAATTTTTCAGCACAAGTCAGAATAAGGTATAGTTTTGACATGAAAAACTTCCACTTTTATTGAAATTAAGACAAAGTATACATTAATGCTTGAAATTGCAGAATTTAAATTAGAAAGCAATGGAGCTATGAATTAGTGGTTTTATACCTATTAAAGGCAATAAAAGAAAGCATAGACTTCTTACCAAACTCCTATAAACTTTCATGCTTAGTGCACATGCTATTTCCAAATACTTTTTGTAATACTTTTTCTTTTTCAAAACAGGAATAACATACTGTTACATACCTTTGTATTAGCTGTATTAGGCCACCAAGTCTTATTCCCACACCATGAAAACATATCACAGATGAACCTAAAAAGAATTAAAAATAGACACATTATATATTTTACAAATCCATTTCTCTGTAAATATAAAATTTACTATTTATTGTTCTGATTTCGTACAAAATGTACACAATAGTATCAACACAAGTTTGTAAGATAAACTGTTGACACAGAGATGTGTTGCCTAGCAGCGGAAAATAAAAAAAAGCTGATGGATATCAACATTGCTAATTAATTTCGATAATTTGATAGTAATGTTACTTTATACAAAATATCTTTGATCTATCATAAGTAGTAACTTGACTACAGCAGAAAACTTAACATAATAAATAAGTCAAAGGTTTTTGTTTAGAATTTTACTGCAGGAAGTACACCACTAATTCATGGCCCCATTGCTTTCTATGTTAAATTCCTCAATTTCAAGCAGACACAGCTCTTTTGTTTCAAGTTCATATAAAGTGACAATCATTGCATGTCAAAGCAACACTTTATGGTGTCTTGTACTGGAAAAATCAACATACCTTTAATGGCATATAAGAAAGAACTGGTTCCCGGAACTTCGGATGTACCAAAACAGGTACTTCAGATCTGACATACAGGCAAAAAGATCCCTCTTTATAAAATTTGGTGCAGTTTTTTTAATATTCAAAATTATAAGTCAAAAAGTGTTCTACAATGATCACCAGTCATTCAGCTTTCATTTGATACCAACAATACCTAAGTATTCTACATATTTTGAAAGTTACACTCATGCGTAGGAACTATTTTGTGTTAAATATGTACTACTTTCTGGTATGTGCTTTCTGGCCGGGCCGAATTAGTGGTGTTACACCTATAACAGAACCAAACTTGCTATACTGACTTCAGCATCACTTTATTTCATTCTATGATCTATTTCAAGCAATAAAAAACACATAAAGCTTAAGTCCAAATACTATTTTACTAATTTTAAGCTCAAATTGGACTGGTAGTAACATATAGGTTATTCAAAGAAAACTGCATATATATATTATAAATGGCCAATATACTTATTTTATTCTCAATATCATTGTTTTATTTAATAATTTCTGTTAGGAAAACAATGTGCTTACCAATAGTCATATTTCACCAGAGTTTGTTCATTTAATAAAAATATATTAGACCAAACCTAAGACATAATTGAGAAAATTGTCCCCCCTTTTTTCTTCAAATTGGAAAAGGGACATTTTTGGTATAAACCATACTTCTGTGGTACAACATAGATAATAAAGAGCAATTTATATATTTTTCAGCTGGATAACTGGCTAAACTGGTTCAAAATTACATGTACAGTGAGATTTTGGAATTCTTATATGAGTATATACCAATTGCCTAGATTGTAAAAGGCTATCATAACTTGACATAAGAAAACCAATAAAACTTGAAAAATCATAGGATTATTTGACCAAGAGCTATTTTTTTTTACCATAAACAAGTCATTATATACATGTTTTATTGATTGCAATCCCAAATAATGCAAAAATAAGAATTTGGAGTCAAGTCTTAACTGCATGCATGTTGTGTGACCATAAAAGGCTAAAATACCTGATTATGTCAATTTAAGAGCTGAAATTTCCCTTAAACAGAATTGTTCATCCAAAAAAGATGATTAAACATGTTTACTTACATCAAATATGACTTATTTTCATTGGAATAGGTACAACTTCTAAAAATTGAATTTCTGATGATTCTCTGTAATAGGAAGTACACCACTAATTCATGGCCCCATTGCTTTCTATGTTAAATTCCTCAATTTCAAGCAGACACAGCTCTTTTGTGTCAAGTTCAAATAAAGTGACAATCATTGCATGTCAAAGCAACACTTTATGGTGTCTTGTACTGGAAAAATCAACATACCTTTAATGGCATATAAGAAAGAACTGGTTCCCGGAACTTCGGATGTACCAAAACAGGTACTTCAGATCTGACATACAGGCAAAAAGATCCCTCTTTATAAAATTTGGTGCAGTTTTTTTAATATTCAAAATTATAAGTCAAAAAGTGTTCTACAATGATCACCAGTCATTCAGCTTTCATTTGATACCAACAATACCTAAGTATTCTACATATTTTGAAAGTTACACTCATGCGTAGGAACTATTTTGTGTTAAATATGTACTACTTTCTGGTATGTGCTTTCTGGCCGGGCCGAATTAGTGGTGTTACACCTGCACAAAAATCATGTAGTTATCTCCCATTGAATGAACAATCTTGTGCAAATTTTAGCTATCTCCCCTTGAAGTTTTAGTACTATCTCAGAATTTACTATCAATAATTTAATAGAAAATCTTGTTCAAGTACCTGGTTACTTAAATTATAAAACTTCAAAAATTAGTTCATCAATGGTGTTTTGCATGCTTAAGATCATAAGGGTGCTTGTATGTTGTCTTAATATGCACTTTTTATCGAATATTTCTAGAAAATGTAGATAAATGTTTGGCTTAAATAAGCTTGCCTTCTTATTTTCTTGGTAAAGCCTCAAACTTGGTTGAAGATTTATTTGACCATCTTCCTTGGAGCTGCTAGTATCCTGGCTGCTTTGGAAAGTTTTCCATCATAGGTTTTTATGCTAATCAGTCCACTGAATCCATTTTATCCAAGTAATGAAATGTCCTTTCCATTGTATTTAATAAAATATACAATAGTCACCAGAATGTTCCAAATCATCTATTTTAGTTTTCCAATCATGGCAACTGAAGAAATTCCAATTTTAAAATACAAACAATTTATTAAATTCATTTATAGAATACTGTAAAATACCAGATGTGCTTTAAAACGGGTAACTTGTATTTTGATAATTTACCAAATGTTCGTTTTCTGTACCCCACAATTTCTTCCACTCATAAAAAGTATATTTTAGAACTATGTTTACATTTTTTTTTTATTTACAGAGCTCTAGATAATAGCTTTTATACAAGTTACCAGACATCTGATATAAAAATAATTATACAAATGAAATAAAAAAAGTACAATATAGAAATAGCATAATAAACACATATAAATCACCAAATTTTGAATATTTTGAAGCATAATTTAATTGAATATCTATTCTTTTAAGGTTTAGCATACATGTACATAGTAGTCATGTATATTTCCAAAATTTGCCAAAGCCTCAATAAATTTGCAAACTCTCTGTGAACTTCAAAAGATATGGGTTAAAAACTATTTATTTTACCTTTTTTGAAATTTTAAGATGAGAAGTTATTGTTCCCAAGTCGGGGAAAAAATTATCAAACATAATTATTCCATAGGACCAAGTGCACAACTTAAATATTTGTGCAATCTTTGTGTGAAGTTTCTACGATCTAAACTGAAAACTGCAGGAGTTGATTACACAAAATTGGTACAGTCTTTGCAAATTTAGAAAAAAAAAATCATCAAAATTAGAAATGGGGGGAAATTCCTCAAGCAATTCCATATTAGCAGGTACACAACTTCAAAATGTGTGCATTCTTTCTGTGAAGTTTTAATGGTACAAGAAAAAGAAGCTGAAATGAAAAAAATACAAATATGATGCAAAATGGTACTACAGTGTATCATATTAAGTATGAAATCTTCAGATTTAGTAAAAAAAAAAAATAGAAAGAAAAATTGTGAACTCAAAGAAATGATAAAAATACCTATTCTTTATATTTAAAATGAATTTCAAAACTTTATAATAAAAACTACTTTCAAAACTTTATAATAAAAATCAATTTCAAAACTTTATATTAAAATTAATTTCAAAACTTTATAATAAAAATTAAATTCAAAACTCAAATGGCACACAATACTTTAATAAATAAGTATTAATTTTTTACTTTAATATTATACTTGAAAGAAAACTAGTTAAAAAAATTTTACAAAAGTATTGCTTTTGTTCCCAAATTATTTTTGAAAGCATATTGATTAACGATATCAAAATTTGTTTTACACAAGATTACTTCCAATGACTTCTGTTGGAAAAGAAGGAAAATCACTGATATCTTGACAATAATGGACTGATGCAAGGTTACTGCACTCCCCGGAATCACTGGTTCCTTAAATGGATAAGAACCAGGAGTAGCCAAAATATAGACTTACAGGAATCAGCTCTTTTTTGCTACTGGGAAAAGAAAACAGATTACCAGTTAAATCTAAAATAGTCTGGTTTCCTTAACTTTTTCAGTGATTAAATCCCCAAAGTCTAGAACAGGGTCTAATATTAATCTAAAACTGCTTGGTTAACAAAACTGATTGTATGCAACACGTTAAAATTGTTGGGCGTCTTGATAAGGATCCCTGTTATAATGCAAGAAGTTTGATTTATTAATATGAACTAATTGGAAACTCCTTTGAACTAATGAGACTAATTTTGGATCCCTGTTAAAAAGTAAAGCTCTCAGATTCCTCTTGGTGTGGAGATTAAAAAGGATCAAACTAAAAGTAACTGCAGTCAATTATCAATAATTTGGTTTTGTTCATGTTTTTAAAAAGTATTCTATGATGGCAAGTGCTTTACTATATTATAATTACAAAATTTGAAAAAGATAAAATAGTTTGATTCCGACGAGCAAATAAATTTATGTTGTAATTCAAAAAGTATGATAGGGTTAAGATCAATCTAATACCTTTTTCCAATAAAATATACCAGTTTTCAGCTTCTTTTTTGTGATCTTGAAATGATCCTGCTCACTGTCAATAATTTTGATTGCAAAAAAGAAAAATTATTTCAAGAAGCAGGACAAAATTATCCTTTAATCTACTGATCACAGAATGGCTTGGGAAGTTAAAATGATTAATTTTCTATTAAACAGGAAATTTTTAAAAAGAAATGCTTAAACTCAAGACAATTTAATTTTACAAATCATGATGAGCAATTGTTAAATGGGACTAACAAGTAAAATTAAAACATTAATACCAGTTGTCAATTATGGTCTCATAATAATGAAGTTATCATTAAATGTCTGGATGAAAACCTAGTGTTGAAGGTGAGAGTTGAAAATTAACCCAAGGTTGAGAAGCTTGAAGCAAAGGGAGATAACTACTGTAAG